TGGTAGTAGTAGTAGTAGTAGTATTATTAGTAGTAGTAGTAGTAGTAGTAGTAACAATTAGTAGTAGTAGTAATTAGTAGTAGTAGTAATTCGTAGTAGTAGTAGTAGTAGTAGTAGTAGTAGTAGTAGTAGTGGTAGTAGTAGTAGTAGTAGTAGTAGTAGTAGTAGTAGTAGTAGTAGTAGTAGTAGTAGTAATTAGTAGTAGGCCAAAGAGAAAGAGAGAGAGAGAGAGAGAGAGAGAGAGAGAAAGAGAGAGAGAGAGAGAGAGAGAGAGAAAGAGAGAGAGAGGCAAGGAGAGGAAGGGGAAGAGGGGAGGGGGAGGAAAAGGAGGAGTGCCATTGGAAGGACCAGTGGAGAGACGACGACGACGACGACGACGACGACGACGACCACCGCGACGACGACGACTGCACCGCTTCTCTTTCAGCCGCCGGGGGTTCGTGGTCATGCATGGCCATCCGGCGCCAGCTTTTGTACGACCAGACGCTTCCTCGACCGCTTCCGCAGAATTCTTGCGTCCATCGTCGTCCTTGTCGTCGCCCTCCGCGTGCACGACAGGACGTCCATGCGACGGTGCCTATGACGGCGACGACTGTAGAAGGATTTGAGCATGCGCTCGCGGCGACGCGCGCGCATGTCGCCCGCGTCGTATTTTTTGCAAGATTCGCGGCGCGGCATGGGTGCATGACTGAGCATCGCGGTGGCACCGCGCGATGACGTGAAATCGCCTTGGGATGTGGGAAAGAATTTCTTTTAGACACCTCCTCCATATAATATGGTCGGAGTATGCACGTTTTTTTTTTTTTTTTCTTCATTTTTTTACTATGATTTCAGCAAGTAGAGCACGGGGCAGGAACTTTGTATATTTTTTTGTGAAAAAAAAGCATTGGGTTTTGATGTTTTTATGATTTGACAATGCTTGGCAATACACACGGTGTTTCGGGTTGGATTCTGTACAATGAAACCCGGCCGTGGTGCTCTTTGCGAGTGGTATTTTTTTCCCTACCATCACTGTGTGTGTTGGGTCCTCGTTTTGAAGAGGGGACGTCCAGCGTTCCTCGTCCCTTCCTTCCCGCTGCCCCTCCCTCCCTCCCTTCTTTCTCATCATCGTCTTCATAACCATCATCGTCATCGTCATCATCATCTGTCGTCATCATCATTATCACCACCCATGTCGGCACACCCCTCACACGTTTCGTGACCCCATAGGGAGCTCCACCGATGGTCCCAGTGCGTGTGCCCGCATGCGTCCCGCACACTCATTTCGGCACACCCCTCACACGCTTCGTGGCCCCATAGGGAGCTCCACCGAAGGTCCCAGTGGGTGTGCCCGCATGCGTCCCGCACACCCATTTCGGCACATCCCTCACACGTTTCGTGGCCCCATAGGGTGCTCCACCGAAGGTCCCAGTGGGTGTGCCCGCATGCGTCACGCACTCCCCATTTCGGCACACCCCTCACACGCTTCGTGGACCCATAAGGAGCTCCACCGAAGGTCCCATGTGGGTGTGCCCGCATGCGTCCCCCACACCCATTTACGAACACCCTCACACGTTTCGTGGGCCCCACTAGGGAGCTCACAGAAGCGTCACCTGTGAGTGTGACTCCGCATGCGTCCACCACCCCATTTTGCGGCACCACCCCCCACCACCGTTTCGAGGCCCCATAGGGCGCTTTCTCACCCAACGGTCCCAGTGGGTGGCCGCATGCGTCCCGCACACCCATATCGGCACACCCCTCACACGTTTCGTGGCCCCATAGGGAGCTCCACCGAAGGTCCCAGTGGGTGTGCCCGCATGCGTCCCGCACACCCATTTCGGCACACCCCTCACACGTTTCGTGGCCCCATAGGGAGCTCCACCAATGGTCCCACTGGGTGTGCCCGCATGCGTCCCGCACACCCATTTCGGCACACCCCTCACACGTTTCGTGGCCCCAGAGCGAGCTCCACCGAAGGTCTCAGTGGGTGTGCCCGCATGCGTCCCGCACACCCATTTCGGCACACGTTTCGTGGCCTCATAAGGAGCTCCACCGAAGGTCCCAGTGGGTGTGCCCGCATGCGTCCCGCACACCGATTTCGGCACACCCCTCACACGTTTCGTGGCCCCATAGCGAGCTCCACCGAAGGTCTCAGTGGGTGTGCCCGCATGCGTCCCGCACACCCATTTCGGCACACGTTTCGTGGCCTAACAAGGAGCTCCACCGAAGGTCCCAGTGGGTGTGCCCGCATGCGTCCCGCACACCGATTTCGGCACACCCCTCACACGTTTCGTGACCCCATAGGGAGCTCCACCGAAGGTCCCAGTGCGTGTGCCCGCATGCGTCCCGCACACCCATTTCGGCACACACCTCACGTGTTTCGTGGCCTCATAGGGAGCTCCACCGAAGGTCCCAGTGTGTGTGCCCGCATGCGTCCCGCACACTCATTTCGGTACACCCCTCACACGTTCGTGACCCCATACGGAGCTCCACAGAAGGTCCCAGTGTGTGTGCCCGCATGCGTCCCGCACACCCATTTCGGCACACCCCTCACACGTTTCGTGGCCCCATAGGGAGCTCCACCGAAGGTCCCAGTGGGCGTGCCCGCATGCGTCCCGCACACCCATGTCGGCACACCCCTCACACGTTTCGTGGCCCCATAGGGAGCTCCACCGAAGGTTCCAGTGGGTGTGCCCGCATGCGTCCCGCACACCCATTTCGGCACACTCCTCACACGTTTCGTGGCCCCATAGGGAGCTCCACCGAAGGTCTCAGTGGGTGTGCCCGCATGCGTCCCGCACACCCATGTCGGCACATCCCTCACACGTGTCGTGGCCCCATAGGGAGCTCCACCGAAGGTCCCAGTGGGTGTGCCCGCATGCGTCCCGCACACCGATTTCGGCACACCCCTCTCACGTTTCGTGACCCCATACGGAGCTCCACCGAAGGTCCCAGTGGGTGTGCCCGCATGCGTCCCGCACACCCAGTTCGGCACACCCCTCACACGTTTCGTGGCCCCATACGGAGCTCCACCGAAGGTCCGAGTGGGTGTGCCCGCATGCGTCCCGCACATCCATTTCGGCACACCCCTCGCACGTGTCGTGGCCCCGCAGGGAGCGCCGCCGAAGGTCTCGGCACACCCTTCGCACGTTTCGTGGCCCCATAGGGAGCTCCACCGAAGGGGCGACCTGCGCGCGTCGCTGGGACTCCGCGCTGCGCTGCGCCCGCAGCTTTGGACTTTTGAGTGCGCGGGCACAGAGGGAGTAAAAGAAGGGGAGGGAGCGGGCGCGATCCTCGCGGTGGCGTCGCGGCGCGCGGGCGATGCCGTCGGGGAGTCCCGAGGGAGCTCCTTGCGGCGGCCACGCCCGGCGTCGCGAGTACTCAGAGGCAGTCGTTCACAAACTAGTAGCATTCATATACACTTGCACCGTGCATGGGCATGCTCGCATTCATGCACGTAGATTCGCTCGCACGCAGATTCATTCACAGTCAGACGCGCTCGCGCTCAGATTCGCCCGCGCTCAGTCTCCCTACGTGCTCAGATCAATCGTTTTCGCTCGCGTTGTGCACCGCGCCATTCATTTCGGCACGCCACTAGCACGGTTCGTTGCCCCATAGGGATCACCACCGAAAACGGGAATCACAATTGCGGTACTCACACCTGCATATGGTTGGGTCCTTCGTCTGGCTAATTCAATGGATTATCGCCGTGGACGACAGGACGTCCATGTCGAGAGGAAAAAATATGAATTAGCCTGACGAGGGACCCAACCATATGCAGGTGCGAGTACCGCAATAGTGATTCATTTTTTCGGTGGCGATCCCTATGAGGCAACGAACCGTGCTAGGGGCGTGCCGACATGAGTGGCGTGGTACACAAAGTGTACGAAAAC